CAAATTAATTGTGCGTTTCAGAACGATTATTCTTGTTCGGTTCAGGTTACAAATGAGAGGAAGGGGTAAATGTTTCTTTATTTGTTTACTGCTTACGTTAGTATACCTTTAAACAATTTAAACTTGCTTAACTCAGGAAGCTCTTTTGGTTTATTTGTTTGCGGTATCTTGTGCTGCTGGATGGAATCGATTTTTTCGTGGAGACCGATTAAACAGAATGAAGCTGGCGTTGCAAGAATGGTTCATTCGTAAATTTCTAAGCAAATGGGTTTTGTAAACCAGTCCGTTCTGCTCGCTGAAAAACTACCTGGCTTCATCTTCTTTCCCATTACAACTCTATCCTTTCCCGTTCTCCATATATTCAATCTGAGCGGTAAAAGAGTTTCTATCTGAGCGGTTTTCTATGACTAAAATCACATCGGAGACCATCGATACTGTAACCCAGGCTACAAGTTCTGGATGAAGTTTGTGGCTCTACCGCTTTTTGACAATGGTGAGCTTGCCCATGTGGCCCATTCCCTCTAACAGCTTAGCTTCTCTTTCAAGTAAAACAGTCTTCCAAGTAAAACAAATTCGTTATTCAGAGAAATCTATTTAATGTCTTGGCAGAGAGGAGGAGTAAGTAGCTGCAACTAGTCGTACGCTTGTTCGGAACAAGTTAAAAAGCGAGTTTTGGCTGCGCTTCATTTGCAAAGCTGTCGTACTCGCGGCAGCCATGAGTAAGCAACTTCGAATTTCGAACACTGGAATATGAATGATGACCGAAGCTTGAGATACCCTGACAGTCTAGGCAAAGATGTCTTCTGATGTGTACTTATAGGTGCGAAAACGGGCGTGGCTCGGACGAGTTTACTGCTGCTATTGCAAATAGCAAATGATTACGTCGCGTTCGTGACAGCATACTTGCGCGTTCTATTTGCGATAGCAATAGACTCTTCTTAAACACACCCTTCCCGTTCATACTGATACACACCCATGCGTTCTAATGATCATTTCTGATCTTTACTCTTTTCAGTTCCTACATTAGTAAAAGTTGCTGGTTAAGTTGGGAGCAACAAGGGTTATGTACCTACCGTCCTATTTTCTATGTAGCTTTGTGGAGCCATATTTGTACATTATGTTTTATTTTAGGTCATTCTACTTTTTTTTGGTATGAGAATAGAATTTTTTAACTTTTTCTACCGTCTTCAAGACAGAACTGTGTAAATCTACTGTTTTCTAATGCATTAATAAGACAGCTGACTCACTTCAATGTTGATTTATTACTAGGTTTCACTCAATTGTGCTTTGATCTCACATTTGTTATTTACCTTTTTATCTATAGTAATTTTTAGCGGTTATTTCATGATTTATGACAATTGTGATTCGGCCTGCCAAGTCTTCTGCAGCCAAGTCAATTTCGAATTCAAATTAGAACTATAAGAAGGATAGCGCTGAACCAGTCGTCCATTTGGTTCTAATTGGCTTGGAAATCAAATCAGTTTTTATGGAGTCCTATGCAAAACGCTGCTAGTGCACTTCAAACACATCCCAGACTTAGTCCAGCAGCAGGTGATGTGATAGAACGAGATTCGACGTACGACAGCTAATGACATTCAGTGGCGGACAAATTCTCGTCATCACTGAATACATAGTAGCTGCGTTACACAAATGGGGCGTAATGATAGCGATATATTTGGAGTGACTGGCAAAAATGACGTCTTACTGGAAAATATTTCCCACTTCCTTGAACGGGAGCCTTGACGCCGGAAGTGATCTTATTTTATCCCGCCAAGTAGGGCCCAAATGAGTACCTCGAATCGCGCCCATCGGGTATTAAAGGACACCTCGGGATATGAGAAACTTGCGATTAACTGGAACAAGGGCTTCACCAATGAAAATAACATTAACGGAACAATTCACCGATACTGAGAATGGTCAGTGTATAGGAAAGGGCTCTCATACAGCAGTGCAACTCGTCAATCCTTAAATCCGGTAGGAGTTTAGTTTTATATTTGTTTCAGCAATTTTCATTGCTCATGCACTGCTAATTGTTATCAGTAGCCGCCATCAATCATTTTTTATTTCTATAAAGGTATCCAATACTTCCTCATTTTTAATCGTACTTTTAAAACACAAGGAGCGGTTCCTCAAGCTGCCGAGTAGGAGTTTCTGAATTGGTGTTGAAGAGAGGAGGTACCTGGACAAGCTCTCCCTTTTTCCGTTTATCTAGATATCATCTCAACAACAAGTGTGCCGATTTATCAACATCTGCTGCAGCAACTGACCTCGTGACTGACATCGCATCAGAAAATTCTGAACACCCCAGACAGGTTGGGAGTGACCTTTTTTGCATGACCATATGTTCCGGAGGCTCTAGAGCAACGAACACCAGACACTTGCCTCTGGAGCGCTTCGTAGCTGGGAGGTTCGGGATTGATTGATGCGCCCAGGCAGGGCTACTTGTGCCCTTTGTATAGCCGTGTGTTCCTGATCGATTCGCAGCCCCGCCAGTAGCCCCGCCCTCGATGCTGTCCCGAACCGTTGCGGCCGCGAATCTTGCACACTCTGACGTGAGCCAAACTGCTCTTATGAGTTTTTCGGCCTTATATCCGAGTGTTGTTCTCTACAACTCACTCTTTAGTCTCTTAGTGCATTTTTTGCAAAAACTACTATAAAAACGGCAGGAAAAACAGGAAACACGAAAGGACCTCAGCCCATCTCAGTTTCAGATCCTGAACTTTCCATTCTGATATCTCTCATATGATTGACACTCTGCGCTTGATTGTCGCAATCAGCTCCTTTTATCTTATCTCGTTGGCTTCTATTCTCAGATCGCCGCGAAACGCGGCCTCGCTGCTCACGCTGCGCTTTAGTCGATGTATTTTCATTCATCTGTGTTTTCTCGTAGTCCAATGTTTTCTCTTTTACTTTTTACCCTTATGGGATGTGCATTTTTTCAGCGCAGAACATCGCGTCGGCGGGAGTGCGCACGGCCGTGTCAAATCGCAACTACCAACTGGTAACATCTGAGCGTTGAACGACACCGACATGACCGACAGTAAGAATTCCGTAAGTTCCGACATAGTACTTCATTCAAATCTTCAAAAAAGAGCTAAAGGAATTACCTTTGATCGATGCTATTACGTAGAGAATGGTGCTCAAAAATAATATTGCACTGCTGTTTGAACAATTCTTTGGTCGGCTAGAACTATTGGCTCGTCAGGACCTTCATCTTCCTCAGTTATTTGTTTCTTTGTGCAAACAGGCGAAAAATCCCTTCAATCTCTAGAGCGTATTCTACAGTTTCAATCGTGTATTCATGGAGCCTTACTGTTTCTTACTAAATGGTTATCAGTAAGTAAAAAAAAACTTAAGCTAATTACGAAATTTCAGACTTATTAAAAATTATAGTGGATTATAGTGTGAGTTTTGTGCAGCGGTTGCAAAGTGGGGTTGTTTCCGGCAATTAATCATTCTGAGTTGAAGTGGCTTACAATGAGTTGTTTTTACGAAGATTTCGTGAATATCACTATTAAACTGAACTGCATCAGACGCCTGTCCGCTTCTTCGCTGCTTCGGAGCTACTCTTTTTTATCGCACATGTTTGATGAATAGTGGGCTGGGATTATAAAATGCGCCTTTTACGCTGAAAAATTCCTCTCGATTTCTGTGTGCAGTGAGTTAAAGCGACCTAGTTCAATGAGTTTCGGCTTTTAGCAAAGCGACTTTCAAGATTGTGGACTTGTTTTGAAGTGGCAGTAGGGAATGAAATTTGATAACTGGAGCGGAAGCTGCTGCCGGCGTCTCCAGGCGGAGGTTCATCTAATTTGGACCCCCATCCCATTCAATACGCTTATCTTCGAAAAGCGACCACAACTCACTCTCTGCTTCGATGATTTTGCAGTTCACCCCTTTGCGGCTTAATATTTTACACATTTGAAAATTCCCTCTGTAACGGGTGTGCAAGTCCTACTTTATGTGGTCTATCCTGCATCAAGTGATCGATTCTTCGGAAAAAAAAATTTTGTTTGGTTGAAATCCAGTGTTAGTGAAGTTGTGAATAATTACTCGGGTGTTCGGAATTTGTTTTGCATCCCTTCTAAACTTTATAGAAGATTTTTTTAGAATATTTAGTTCAATTTTCTTGTGCTCAAACAATTGGCAATTGGGGGCCCCGCATATTAGTTGCAAAACATCTATAGGAACTCAGTCAGGAAGAATTCATGCAATGTTATCCGTATATGTCATTTTCGTTGACAGTTTTTTTTTTGAAAGTGGCGTCATGCATATGGAAAAGTATAGGCTATTGTAATAAGCTGATTGGAGTATGACTATAGTACCCTCTCGATAGGAAGCCTGGTAGTGGGAGGAGAAGACAAAATTGTCACCTTATGGTTGCTACACTCTTGGCTCAAAGCAGTTCTCACTGAGCTTGTACATTTCGGACTGGGATGCGTGCGCTTTGCGGGCTCTTTCGTAAAATGCAAAGGAATACTGTGTAGTGCTACAAACTTGCGAGATGTGTTTTGAAGTGGAAACTTCTGTGTTATGGTTGGTAGCGTTCGGATACGTCGGATTTGCTGATGTTTGCAATTTGTGATAGGACCAAACCCGGTAGCCCACGAGAATATCTCGTAACTGAGGTTTTGTGCTTGCTTGGGCTGCGAAGTTTATGGGATGGGTAAAAGCATAGAAGATAATTCTCCCAACTCATGCGCATATCTTCTACCAGACAGCTCAATATAAGAGGGCAACAATCAGGCTTTCTCCTATGGTGTTTGCTTATTTGGAGACCCGTGCCTTTTTGTTGGCTCATTTGATTGGGTTCACTTTCTCGTTCTTCTTCCTGCTCTCTACGTTTCGATAAAATAACTTCCAGTCGTTCTAAAGGCGGTCATTAGATATCATTTGAAATTATTTTAAGTGTTGATGATTATAAATTTGGACCATATTCAAAAGTTTTGATCTCCTTTGGACAGTCGGGAAAAAAAAGTGGAGGAGTCCGTTAGAGGTCACAGATGAGATTCAGAATAAAGTTTGAAAAGCTCACGGGTGTTAGTCCCCAGCTCTCATGCTTGAATTTTTTGAGTATTGTGTTCTCGCGAAATCATGTCACATTCCCATTCATCTTGTAGGTGCGTGCATATTATGAATGCAAGGAAAGACAAGCTTGAACGCAGGATTTCAAAGCTGCCGTTACATATTGCATGGAAATGAATGTCATGTTTTTTAGGAAGTCGTCGAGAAGCCGAGCGCGGAAAAAACTGAGCAGCCCGCTAACAGTGAAAAGCCCGTGAGTTTTATTTTCATTTTTGAACTAACTAAATGTTCTCCTCGAAAATTTCCCCGTTGAGCAGCAATTTTTTGTGACTACGTATCAATCTCGAGAAACAACACTCTGTTATCAATTGAAAATGGTCACAGCTCCTGCTAATTGCTACTTCTAGGGCTCCGGTCGATTCGTTCGAAGAATCTTTTGTTCTCACCACTGTTAACCTTTCTTATCTAAACTTCTCCGAATCTCTGAACGGTGGAACTTTCTCTGATAAAGTGGGCATAGTCATTTCGTTTTAGTCTAAAGTTTTCGCACTATACCATTTACACTATTTCAAGCTTTCTTAATTGGTGACGACTCGACTTTTGATTGCAGTCATGATAGGTGTCAGTCATTGCTACTGCACGAATCATAGAACGCTAATGAATAAGCATGTAAACCACTCGGTAGCTTTGCTGGTGATGGTGCTGAACTTCACCAGATCTAGTTATTGAATATTCTGATTGCTGCTAGAGTAAGTTTTTAGTAGGAAAGCCTTACCAGTGGGGGATGTGGTTGGGTATCGAAAGTCACTTAATTTGTCTATCACCATCGTAAACTACATGCTGAGTTGGATTTTGCCATTTAGTGATGGGACGACTTCATTATCCCTCATGTTCTTACTTGAGGTGAATCTCATCAAGGGGTTTTCATTAGGAATGGTACTCAAAAAGATGCCGCAGACCACTCAAACATTCTGATCTACCAGTGCTGCTTCCATCTTCAGCCTACAAATCTCTTCTTTGTTGAACTTTGTGCTGATCTCGTATTTATAGGTCGTAGCAAAGGGCGTGTCTGGTGTGGTAAAGTGGTTTAATGTGAAGAATGGATACGGATTTATCAACCGCACCGACACAAATGAAGACATCTTTGTCCATCAAACAGCTATTACCAACAATAACCCCAACAAGTTCCTTCGAAGCCTCGGAGATGGAGAAGAAGTAATATATTGTCGGATAGGTTAAAGGGCGATATGTTATAGTCGAATTGTAGGTTATGTTTGACGTTGTCGAAGGTGCCAAGGGACCTGAAGCTTCAAATGTGACCGCTAAGGATGGAGGACCGGTACAAGGATCGAAAGTGAGTTATTCCTTTTTTAGGTGCGGGTCTCAAGGATGACATCAAATCTTTGAATGTCATTATTTTTCACTTCCTACTGACTAAAATCAAGATCATAGCCGAGTTCTCTGTCTCTGTCGTTCGAATCAATAACAATGAAGAAATCAGAAATGTGGAAGCGTTAGTGAAATATAAGCCTCTCCATGATACTGCTGTTTTCAGTATGCAGCTGACCGCAATTCGGAGCGTGGTGGACGTCGCTTCAGGCGTAGGAATTTCTTCCGAAGCAGTCGTCGTGGGGCACCTGCTGGTGGCGAGGGACATGAGGAAGGGTTCACCAATGACCATGAAGCAGATAGACCGGAAGAGGTGATGGTTTCTCCGTTCTAATGACGATTTCTAGCAAGTGTTCTCTAGATATCAACAAACATCTCCTGTAAATAGAGCTTATGTCGCAAAATCGAAATCTGCTATTTTTCAGGGTGGTCAGCGTCGCTTCCGTGGAGGCCGTGGCCGCGGATATCGCGGTCGTGGTTACCGTTCTGGTGGCGGCCGTGGTGGCTCATACGCTAATGCAAATAATACCGAGGATGCGTCCGCTGAGGGACAGCAGGTAAGAAGCATTTTACCACTAAACTTCTCCCGTTATATTTAAACATCTTCGGTTCAGGCTGACGCAGTAAATGGAGGTGAAGGGGGACGTGGAAGAGGACGCAGAGGACGTGGAGGCCGTGGACGTCGAGGTCGCGGACGTGGTGGCAACGGAAATGGTGCTAAGGAGTCCGAAGCTTAGATGTAAGTTAACAGCATTTTTTGTCGTTGTATTATTGTCTTGTCATCAATTAACTGAGAGTGGGTAGGAAGAATTTGGTGTTTATATCTAATCTTTTCAGTTGATTCGATTCTATTTTGAGGCTAGGTCTTTCTTCTTATTCTTATATTTTTCAGCGGACGGTTCCCGGTCTTCTACTCCTCGATTCAATTTCTTGGGCATCAACTGTCATCCAGCTTCCATCATTTACTCTTTCTATTAGATCAAAAAACGACGAATCCCGTTACAATTGTCATCAGTTTTTATGGAACAGCTCTACCCGTACGCTGGGCTACCGTACAGCAGAATCCAACAGTAATTAAACCAATTTAGTTTTTGCACCGCCACAACATCGGCGGTAGCCAGGCGGCATGGAGTGACCATTCCTCATCATACTTTGTCATTTAAATTAATCTTTAATATTATTTTCAAACCTAAAGTAATTAGCTATTGATAGATTGCAGAAGTTGTTTTATTTAATTTGTTGTTGTAGAAATTTGATGAGGACTTGGTTCGCTATCCTACAACAACTATGCCCTATTTCTTAATTTTCACCATCTTTTAGTCTGGGTGATGCCCAGAAATCGCTCTACATCTTTGAATAAATTGTTATGTTCCCAATTCGTTCAAACTTCACACTATTACCCATGTCTCAGTAGCAAAGTAAGAGGTGTCCCAAAAACATTGAAAATAATTCAGTTAAAAGAAACAGGCTTCGGGAACAACCTTGTGACTGAGATTTTGTTCTTCAGTTGGTCAATGAGCCCAAAATAGGTGTCATGGGGATCTACGGTTGCTTCTTTTTACCTGCGTTACTTACTTTTCGAGAGCCTACATAACTGAATGAGTAATGATTTGTAGTAGAGGTACCTCTGAAAAATGGTTCCCACAGCAATTCCAAATAATGGATCATCTAAAAGGAATCCCCCGAAAATGTGTAAGACCCCAGCAACGAGGACAACTCTCTATATCCTTAATAGCCCCTTTTGGTAAATGAGGTCGAAAGAAAAAAAAGAACAATTTTCTAAGATTTCTTTTATCCCTCCGTGACCGAGGATCTAACCAACATAATCGGCTTACATCGCTTAGATGCCCAAGCTACTCTGAGGTTGGTTTATCCGGAATAGCGATGTAGTACTTTACACAGAAGGCAACTCCTATAAGCCCTGTTGCAAAACAGGACGTAAGACTGGTTGGGCGTCAGGGTTTTCTAAACTTAAGGACGCCTTTTGAAAGTAAATGAAACGAGTTTTACAAACAGCCTACCGAATATTGTTGAGGTAAAGCTGACTTGCAGATTGACGACAGAAAGAAAAACCTCGTAAACGGCGTAATAAACCGTACAAAAAGGGAATCAAAGCCTGTGTCGGAATGAGCACTCGTAGGATCGAGCATCTACGGCCATGGAAGAGGGTGCAGACATCGCAGCCATTACTTAGTCACCGTTTTCGCGAAACACAACAAGCGTTTCTATGGACGAGGCTGGTGCTGGCATGTGAAAGGAGTAGTAGATAACGAACTACTGAAGAGTAAACGCCATCGAGAACTCCAGGACGTCCCTCATGAGCCCCTATGCCTCTGCAAGCGCTTTGTCCCATCAGGCATTTCATCCCATTACGGTAGTCATAATAGATTAGGCTAATCAAAAGTGTAGACATTTATCGGAATTTTAGATTGTTTTAATGAGTAGTTGTACCATAGACGAAGATCATTGATTAATTCTGCCCATTTGAGTGGAAGTCGAATGCTAGGCGTATCCTCAGAAAGCAAATCAGCAATCAGAAAACAAACAAATCAACATCATTTCTAGAAAGAAACTCGATATCCATATACTGTAATGCTCTGACCCACCATTCTAGAAAGATCGATTAGTGCAGCCATCTGGGCGAAGTAAACGTGGGTGGTTGAGGGACCTGAAGGCACTTGACTCCACTCACATTACAACTACCGTGGTTTCAACAGCGTACTTAAGAAATAAGGCAGCAAGGGATCGAAAATCGTTCGTGGCTATGGAATGTTGTCCAAAATGCATGAAGCAGATCGATCCGGTATTTCTGATGAGGTTTTTATACATAGTCGGCGCCGACATTGATTACCATAATAGCACACGCTGACTTAGATGCTAGACGTACTCGGTATTGCCCATTAAATTAACTGCGGTCGAAGTGAAGTAGGTAGGTTTCAAGGCTGTTCAGTTGGCTTTTAGCGAGAATTCCTTAGAACTGCTCATGTCGGACGATGAAGGGCTCTTTACCGAACAGATGGCGTGACCTGATGCGCGCTGCGCGGAGAACCCTTGCCCCTTGGAGATTTGGGATCTGGCGCGAAAGGCGCCGATTCAAATCGTCGACGATTCCCGTCAAGCAGCCGTCTGAGGTCGGCCGGCGCTTGACTCATCGCATTCAAAACATGACCTCGTCAGTTTATTTGTGTCTACGGTCTCATTTCTTGTTTTCGGACGTATTGCTTAACTTGGGCCTATTTTCGGACTATAGTGTTCTTTTATGTGCTTGGTAGGCATCGGAGGGAAGGGGAAATTGTGCCCGAACTTTCTGTCATTTTGGGTTTTTATTATTCGATTAAGTGGACTTCAGGAGCTGGAATTATATGAGCCACTACCAATATCATTCACTATATTAGGTCCCGCGCACGACTGTCATCGTCACGTTCCCATATAAATCCATATTGCGAATTTTTCTATTTTTAGAAAGCCGTTTGTATACATAGTTTCCAGCTGCCATCCGAATTGCTACCAGAATGTGATACAGTACTCTGAAACGTTCCTTCTCGAAATATCTTAGATTATATCGTGATAAAAGTAGCGGTTGATTCCCTTATCATAACATTCCACCCACAGTATGGAAGCTAGGTTCATTTCATATTCAGTACGTCTAACGGCAACGTCGGCTAGCTCTTGAAGTGGTTTCATTTCTGATTGTTTCGGGCGATAAACCTATGATAGGTTCCATATTACTTCCGCACTTCTGTTAACTTGGTTTTTCAGCACATCCTTGAATTATTTCATGTCTATATACTTGTCACGGAAGGAAACGGAACTAGATGTTCTCAAAGTGAGTCGTTAACTCGGAATATTTCCTAGAATCCGTATTCTGTGGTCTCTAATTATGCTATAACCAGGCAAGTCATAATGAGCTGGCTGGTCGAATCAAGGCAGCTGAGGCCCACGGTAAAACTCTAGTCTGGGTACCCCACGAAAAAGATGGTTTCGTTCTCTCCTTTATAATCGACGAACCGGATAATGAAGGTAAGTTATGGCGACGTTTTATACATTTGCAGTGGAATTCCTGATAATTTTGAACATGGGTTTTCAGGATACGTGCAGGTTGAGTTACTGGATTCGCATGAACGTCAGCGTGTGAGTCGTGATGACTACCAAAAAGTGAATCCACCTCGATTCGATAAGTGTGAAGATATGTCAAGCATGTCTTGCCTGAATGAAGCTTCCGTTTTACACAACCTACGGCAGCGCTTCTTCTCTAACCTTATATATGTAAGTTTGCATAATCATTTTTATCAGCTTATTTCTTTATCTAAGGCATTCGATTTTGAATAGATGTTTATCAGATAGGATACAGATATCATTCGTTTCTAGTAGTGACGGCACCCACTTCATAGTTTCGGAAGGAGATATTTATAGCATAGCTTGCATAGCTTTCGTTATTATATTCAATCTTATTCTTTTATATATTTTTCTCGCTAGCTTCTAGAACAGGGAAAGAGGGAACTCTTTTCGTAAAAACCTAATGGATTCTATATTCTTTAACTTTTTCCTTTTACAGACGTACTCTGGACTGTTTTGTGTTGTTGTTAATCCTTATAAACGGCTTCCCATCTATACTGATTCCATCGCAGAACAATATAAGGTCAGTATTCCGAACTTGCTATATTAGGGTGTGCTCAATGTTAAATGACACTGCCTGTGTAAACGTTTTAAAGCATTGTGCTTTGGGTAAGGTACTTTGATCGTTCGCTAATTCGCCTTGGAAAGTGCCAAGCATCTGGCGCCAAGAAGTTGATCGTTTCCAGGGAAAGAAGAGAAAGGAGATGCCACCTCATATTTTTGCTGTCACTGATGAGGCTTATCGTAATATGCTGCAAGATCGGGAGGATCAATCTATTTTGTGCACGTTCGTATCTTTACAACAGTAGGTATTGTCCTTGTACACATAACCTTCTCGAATTATAATTTAGGGGCGAATCAGGTGCTGGCAAGACGGAGAACACGAAGAAGGTTATTCAATATCTCGCCCACGTTGCCGCACCGAGATCAAGTAGCAGCAAGGTATAACTTCACTATATTGAATACCTTAGTTCTAGTTATTCTCTCGTGCACTTTAGCGCGTTGGAAAAGTCAACGGCAGTCCAGTCCACTCACGGCTTGTGGTGCGTGTGCATGGAACACTGTGTTTATTAACGAAATATGAAGCCTTCAGTCATTCTCCATCTTAGTCTTGTACCAATGTTTATTTGCATTCATGTTCAGGGTCGTCTTGAAGAACAGCTTCTGCAAGCAAATCCTATTTTAGAGGCTTTCGGCAATAGTAAAACAATAAAGAACGACAATTCATCGAGATTCGTATGTTCTTTTTATCTCCTTGTAATTTTGTTAGTGATCGACAGCAGTTCTCATACACAATTTAGCGATTATTGTTTTCTAACCTTATACCAAATGAATAGGGAATTGATCCAGAGCTGATCGTTGAGCGAACACTTTGATTTATAGCTTTGATACTTTGATACTATCACTGGTCTATATTTAGGTAATCGCAGATTCAGTAGGTCATCAGGAAAGTCATAGTTTTTGTTTTATGCACAGCTGTTGTGACTAGGACAAATTTTAGGGCAAATTCATCAGAATTCATTTTGATGCTGCTGGTGCTATATCAGGAGGGAATATAGAATTTTACCTTCTGGAAAAGTCTCGTATTCTTCGGCAGTCAGCTGATGAACGATGTTTTCATATCTTTTATCAGCTGCTCAAAGGAGCCAGCGCCGAGCAGCGGGGTCAGACTATCTTGTTTAACTATTTGCAGGTTTTATATAAAAACTTAAGCAGAATGTATTTCAGGTGCGCTTTTGCTTGAGTCCAGCCCGAGTCAATATAATTTCTTATCTAACGGTGACATATGCATACCGGGAGTTGAGGATGCTGGCGAATTTGAGGAGACGTTGCGTGCAATGAAAATTGTTGGTTTTCAAGACGATGAAATTCAGGGTACCATATTTCCTGCTTTTGTTTGTAGTGTTTTTCTCATACTTACTTATACTTTATTTAAGCTATCCTGCGTATCATTTCGGCAGTTTTGTTATTTGGAAACCTTCAATTTTCACACGAAGGCAAAAATTCGGATCAAGCTGTGCTACAGAATGATGGTGTAGCTCATAAGATATGCACGCTGTTGGGGCTGAATCTTGGTGAAGTCATGAAGGCTTTTCTGAAGCCGAAAATAAAAGTTAGTTGGTTTTGTTAGGATGATTTTTGATCTTCGCACGTTATTTCAATATTAATTTCATTTTGCAGGTGGGCCGTGAGTTTGTTCATCGTAGCCAGAATGAAGAGCAGGCAAGATTTTCTGTTGGAGCTATTTCCAAAGCATGCTACGAGCGACTATTCAGGTGTGTGATAAGGATACTTTCAGTGGTTCCTTTCTCAGAGTAGCTTTATTGTACCATTTGTTTGTAGATGGCTGGTACAACGCCTAAATAGGTCTCTAGATCGCACTCGCCAGCATGCTGTTTCCTTTGTAGGAATTCTCGACATTGCTGGGTAACGATCATTCATTCTTATCCACAAGCTGGTATTTCGTGAATTGGTGGCAATTTTCAGCTTTGAAATTTTCGAGATGAACTCGTTTGAGCAGCTTTGCATCAACTATACCAACGAAAAACTGCAGCAATTGTTTAACAACACCATGTTTGAGAAAGAACAGCAAGAATACCTCAATGAAGGGCTTGAATGGGATATGATCGATTTTGGACTCAACCTCAAACCCACGATCGACCTTATCGAGAAGGTAAATACATGGTCGTACTGTACTCATATTTAATGCCAATTGCTTCTTGCTTTTCACTGAATTTCATGCTAATGGTGGACTTTCGACTTAATACTCTGTATTATTTACTCATGTTACAGCCGATGGGTATTTTATCCACTCTCGATGACATTTGCCTTTTCCCACAAGGAAACGATACTGGATTTGTTGAAAGGCTAGCGGCTCAACATCACAATCACTCAAAATATCTCGTTCCGGAAATGCGTTCAAAGTTAGTTTTTACTTTTTGTCCAATGTCGAAAGTCATCTCACCATGTTTGTTCAGAAGTGACTTCGCTATAGTGCATTATGCTGGTCGCGTTGATTATCAGGCACAGGGTTGGCGTGTAAAGAACATGGATCCTTTGAATGAGAATGTGGTTGAACTCCTTCAGCTCAGCAAAGACTCGCTTGTTTGTGAGATTTGGAAAGATGGTAAGTTAATACTTTTTTTGGATCTTCTATTCATACGAGAACTACGAGAAATAACTTCTGCTTTGAGCGTTTTGATATTCAGTAAATTAGGAGCTTTCAGTGAGCGATATGTGCTGCATGGCTGCGACAGAGGTTGGAGAGGCGGCGGCTGTTTTTGGAGGTCGTGTTAAAAAAGGAATGTTCCGAACGGTCTCGCAGATGCATAAAGAACAACTTACTCGTCTTATGACCACGCTTAACAACACGAATCCGCACTTTGTACGGTGCATCATTCCCAACCATGAAAAGCGCGTAAGTTTTTTCAGCTCCTTCAGTTTTAAGTTTGGTCGGGAACAGAAAAAAANAAAAAAATAATTTGAATAGTCCCACAGAATTAGGAAGAAAGGACTATGTATTCCTTTACAGCATGGAGTTCTGAATGCTCACCTCGTCCTAGATCAATTGAGATGCAACGGAGTTCTTGAAGGAATCAGGATATGTCGTCAAGGATTTCCCAACAGGATAACATTCCAGGTATTCTTATTTTATTTTTCTTTTATAATCTCACGCATTATCTGAATATCATAATCTTGATGATACAGTGATCTTTGAAGCTTATGCGAGATGATATTTACATACCATATTTGCAGGAATTTCGACAGCGGTATGAGAAGTTATTAGCACCAAATGCCATCCCTCATGGTTTTATGGATGGGAAGGAGGCTGTTCGGTTAGTAGCACCTCGAGTTTTTTCTTGGGCATACGCTGTATGGTCATACATTGCGTTAAAATGTTGAATAGTAAAGTATATCTGCACAGAAGTTATATATGAGAAAACTTTTCAGTCGAATCCTCGAAGCAATCGATGTACAGCCATCCCTTTATCGAATTGGGCAATCGAAAGTGTTCTTCCGAACTGGAGTTATTGCTGGGCTTGAGGAGGACCGTGATGAGAAGCTAGCTGTGCTTGTTGTTCGCTTTCAGGTTCCATTTGAATACTTTTATATTTTGTTTTCAACATTTAGCTGATTTTGTCTCAACATCTTGTTGAACATTGCTTTCAAGTTACAACCCTTCGGAATAAAAATTTTACAGGCGCTTTGTCGTGGTGTGTTAGCTCGTGCTGATTTCAACAGACGCCGAGAAAAAGCTGCTGCCATTCGTATAATCCAGCGCAATGGTTTGGCTTGGATACGACTTCGAGGATGGCTTTGGTGGAGGCTTTTCACTAAGGTGACTTCTTAACAAAGAAAATACAGCAGTTGCAGCACAATAAACTATGTGGTTCAGGTGAAGCCCTTGCTGGAAATAACCAATAAGGATATGTTAATCGCTGAAAAAGAACAAGAGCTCAAAACTACTTCTGAAAAGCTGAGAAGAAGTGAAATATTCATTAACGACATGTACCGTAAGATTGAAAAGGTATGTTGAATAAAAAAAAAACGATTACTTGTTTGCGTGTAATCTTTTACTTAATCATTTCCAGTATGGCGAAGAGAAATCACGTTTACAAGAGAAGTTGGACCTGGAGAGTATGGAACGCGCAGAAGTAGATGAAGAAAGACAGCGCATTGCAGCTCGGAAGGTGGATGCTTTCCCTGGGTTCAAGTTTTGCTATGATTCATACGGAGGTTTAGATGGAGCTGGAGACCGCTCTTGACCAAATGGAGAAACAGTTGCACGCCGAAGAGCAACGGCGTGAGGTTGCTGAGCGTGAGCGGAAGAAGTTGATGGTACGCCCTTCAATTCCTATAGGACTCACAACTTCTAGTTCTCAATAATTTCAGGATAATGTTCACGACTTGGAGCATCATCTAGAGGAAGAGGAGCGAACTCGACAAACGCTACATATAGAAAAGGTAGAATTAGAGAAGAAGTTAAGAGACCTGGAAAGCCAAAATATGGAAAATGAGGAGGCTGCTGGACGGGTTAGTTAGTTGTTATTGTCCTGAACAGATTCCTTCTGCTGTTGTACTTTATGAGAAGCAGTTCTGCTTTTAGCTAATAAAAGAGAAACGAGCATTGGAAGAAAAGGTCAAGGAACTGTCAGCTCGTTTAATTGATGAAGAAGAGAGAACAAAATCGCTCCTCAAGCAGAAAAGTAAAGTCGAAATTTCTGCAGTCGATTTACAAGACGAACTGGAAAGGTAATGTGATGGGACAATGTTATAACCTGTCTCTTAAACTACAAGTTTCAGAGAGAAAGCAGCAAGAAACGAAGCCGAAGCATCGAAACGAGCACTCGAAGGTGAACTACGAGAAGAAAAGGATACCGCCGCAGAGCGTCTCCGAAAAATCGAGGAGCTCGCCCAAATGTTGAGTCGCAAGGATGCTGAGCTCGTTCAGATCAAACTAAGGTAGAAAATTCTAGTTTGGTTCGTATACAGTGTTTTGAATATTTGTGTGTTTTAAGAAACGATGAGGAAACAGCGACACGACAGCAGCTAGAGAGAAATCTACGTGAGTTGCAGTCTCAACTAGATGACGCAGTGGAGGATCTCAAGCAGGAGCAAGCGTTAAGGTGGGGATCAAAACGTCATTTTGACCTTAGAAACTGAGGCGTAACATGGTATGAAACGGATAAAAAGCTCAAGTTGTTGATCTGGAAATAGGCAATTAGTTGTTTACTAAAAGTTACTATGTTCTTCTTGTTCTGCTCCAATCCTAGCGTCCAATTCTCTGATCTTTATTCTTGATAGTTTCTTTTGCATTGCTCATTCTAGTGTCGTTTAGTATTCGTCCTAATTTGCCTTACTTTCATCAGAGTGAAATCCGAGAAAGCACGTCGCGATCTAAGTGAACAAGTGGAGACCTATAAACTTGAGTTGGAGGAATCTCAGGACAAGAGCGCCTCTCACCATGCAATGAGAACAAAGCGAGAGGAGGAGTACAACTTGTTGCAGGTATTTGTTTGTTGACTGACTGTTCTCGGATGACTTATTTTCCTATATTGATGAACTTCAAACCGTGTTTCTGCAGATTTTGTGGGCTTAACAATAGAAATATCTCTATCACCAATTATAGAGCTTATTTTTCATTGATTACAGAGCCAACTAGCCGAGAGCATACGCGAAGCTGATCAAAGATATGAAGCACTGCGTGCTAAACATATGAAACAGATTGAAGAGCTAGGCGAGGAGATGGATCAGCTCAAACGAGCCAGAGCTGCGGTGTGTACTTTATTTCAAGCATTTTGTTTCTTAACAGCAGCCTCATTGTAATAGTAATTCAGTCAGAGAAAGCCCGAACTCAGCTGGAGAACGATCTCGTCAATACTCAAGCTGAGTTGGCGACTCTTCAGTCTTTGAGAAGTGATAGTGAACGGAAAAGAAAGGTGATGTTTTATTTGGTAGATAATTATGACTTTGATATTATTACAACATTCAGTCTTGATATGCTCTACTTTAGATAGCTGATACGCAACTCGCTGACCAAGCCCTTCGCTTGCAACAATACACTGAAGAGAACGAGCAACTCGTTTCGAAAGTCACTAAGGTGAGCAGCAAAGTCGTGCAAGATGAATCAACTTTCCTAACCTCTTTCTAACTTCTAACAGTCATATCTTTTTAGCTGGCAAGTGATCTGGAAGCTGCTATGAAAGGACGTGAATCAGATGCAGAGGCCAACGGTAGTCTGCTAAAGAAAATCGCCAATCTTGAAATGGAAATTTCTGAGATGGCTGAAGTCAGCTCTCAACTCCACTTATCTATTTGTCCAGATTTTCATGTGCAGTGAAAACTCATTTTTTGTAGGCAGCAGAAGAAGCAGCAAAGAATCGTATAAATCTTACTGCAAAGTTAAGAAAATCAGAAGATGAAATACTAGAGTTGCGAGAAGCTCAAGATGAGTTGAAACAACTAATTGAAAAGTCCGAAAAGGTGACAGAGCACTTCTTTTCTTCACATTTATTGGCAGCTATCCTTGTTGTTGTAGGAAGCGACATCGCTGAAGTCTCAGCTGTCAGATGCTCGTAAACGATTGGATGAGGAGATTTCCGATGCGGTGGCAGAAGCACAGCGTAAACTATCTCGTGAGCTAGCGGCTGCTGAAGCACGAGTCAGTGAAGCCGAAGCTGCTCGCGACAAAGCGGAGCGTGCCAAAGTGAAAGCACAGCAAGAGGTACAGTATTAACTTTCATGCTAACTATGCAGTAGAATTCTAATATTCGTTTTACATAGGCCGAAGATGCTTGCCGCGAAATCTCGGAAATCACTGCTTCAGTTAGAGAATGTGAGCGTAAACAAAGAAAGTTTGATCAACTGTTGGCCGAAGAAAAAGCTAACACCGCAAAAGTTATGGCCGATCGAGATGTTGCTCAACAGCAGGTCAATACTACTTGATAAGGCTGTTTTATAAGCTGTACGAATGGTGATAGTCTAGGCTAGAGATGCGGAAACGCGCCACTTGAATGCGGTCAAAGAAATAAAAGATCTTCGCAGTCAAATAGATGCTATGGAGAAGGAACGACGAATATTGCGCCTCGAAGTTGACAACTTAGTCGGTTCCCTCATTCTTCGATTTGCTTACAGTTCGCCCGCATGTTTTTTGAATGTAGGCCTCGACAAAGGACGACGCGGGGAAAAGTGTCTTCGAACTAGAAAAAGCGAAAAAGCGTTTGGAGGAGGAGCTCATGGAGGCTAAGGAGCAGGTACGTTCAGTTACTTTGAGGTTATCTCATTGTTTTACTACCGATTACTACATTGAGAGTTGGATGTCGCACATGCTTTCGCAATTTCAGATAATTGAATTGGAAGATGCTCTACAAATGGCTGACGATGCAAAAACAAGAACGGAGGTCATGCATCAAGCAGCGAAACAGGACTGGGAGAGACAGCTATCGCAGAAGAACGACGAGGAGGAAGATCAACGACGATCTCTTTCAAAAAGGGTGTGCTTTTTTGATATACAGATGGGAAGGTGAAGCGGTTCTCACCTAATTATTGTTATTTGATTTTTTAGTTGCGTGAATTGGAAGAAGAACTGAATGTGGAACAACGATTCAAAGCGCAAGCTGCAGCGTCAAAGAAAAAGTTGGAAGCGCAAGTATGGAAAAATCTGTTCTTTGAAAGGACTTCTGACATAACCCTATGACTGTTCAGATAGTGTCATTGCAAGAGGAAATCGAACACCTGACAAAACAAAACGAAGAGTCATGCAGGCAGATCCGTCGTATACAACTCAGCGCCAAGGAGGCTGAGACTGAAGGAGCTGAAGCTAGAGCGGCCATGGACGAAGCCCTATGCAAAGCGAGAGATGCTGAGAAGCGGTAATAACTTTTACTCCCAGGGTTCAATAATGGAATGATGACGAGGTAGCAGAAACCGTGAAATTCAGATTGCGTTCGGCTGAAGCAGATATCTCTCGTCTGAGCAGTGAGCTGTCATCGTGTCAATTAGCTCGTAGAAAAGCCGAGACAGAACGGGATGATGTCGCCGAAGAGCTAGCGACATTACGCCAAGGAGGTATAATGGGACAAGAGGAAAAGAAGAAGTTCGTGGATTTTCTTGGTGTCAAATATTCGAACCAAACATGGTTTTTTCAGGTTTGAAAAAATTATCGCGGACTTGCAAGATATGCTTGAAGAAGAGCAAACAAGCAACGAGTTGGTGAATGAAAAGCTGAAGAAAGCTCAAGCACAGGTTGCTCTTGATTTCGATCTTCTGCTTTTTTTTATATAAATTATTAGGGCACAACTCTAAGTGGTTTTTTGGAGTCGTTTTGTTCTATATCTCACCGTTTTCGCCGCAGGTCTGAGCTTCTGAAACTTCTTGAGCGCCTGGAGGCGATGTTATAGATGACTGAGATGAGGAAATCTATTTTGTTTAACCTTTTCCGGCAATCTTAAGGAAGCAGGTTCTGTAAAGATTAGCGATATATGACTTTGGCTATCAAATCTTATTCGATGTAGGCTTATTGGGACTTTTCCATTCTTGTTGGTCGGTATGACTTTTCAATAACAAATCTTACACTTTTGGCGCTAGGGTGCTTGCAATTAAGAATGGCATGAGAACTACTTGTGAAAAACGGTTAAGCCGCATGCATATCTACAGCCTGAATTATTCTGTTAAGGTCGAACAACTAACTTCCGAATTGACCATGGAGCGGTCCTTGTGTGAACGGGCAGATGCAGATAAAGTAACCCTGGAACGAACTGTTCGAGAGCTGAAATCTCAGTTGCAAGATGCTGAATGTAAGGAACATGAATTTTTGTCCGCTTTAGTGGCAGTTTCATAGTTTCATATACAGCAGCAGCAGCGACTCGTGTTCGCAGCCAGCTTGCCGCAGCTGAAGCGAAGGCGCAAATGTTAGAGCAGCAATTACAAGCAGAAGAACAGGAGAAAGCTCGCGTCTGCCGTCAGGTAAGCCATGAAATTTTAGATTTTTAATATAATTAGAAGCAAAATATAATGTAGGCTCGTCGACTTGAAGCCCGAATAATGGAGATGAATGTACAGTTTGAAGAGGAAAGGCGTCAAATTGAGCAACATCGTGAATCGGTAAGCCTTCATTAGGATTTATATTATAGCGTGGTGTACAGGTGCAATTTTTCTTTTATCTAATTCCGAAGGAAAGTGTTTAGTGTGAACGTGCCAACTCGCGGTACAAGGCAGAAAGACGTCGTGCTCAAGAGTTGGAGGAAGAAGTAGCAGCTGCGAACTCCAAATATCGAGAAGCTTCAAGGCAACTTATGGATCTAAATGATGCGAACGACGCCCTCACAAGAGAAGTGAATGCTCTACGGGTATGAATCGATAACCCTTTGTTCCGATTTTACTTCTCTACTTAATTTGAAGTCTATCGTTGATAATCTTGTTCGACAGGCTCGCGCTGCAATAGCCGGTGACCGTCGACTCCTTAGCGCTTCGAGGGACTTGAGAAGATACGGTAGTAACAATTCGATAACAAAAGGTATCTCAGTCGTTTCTTCTACTCCTATTATACATGAGTCAAAGCAAAAATTGTGTAAAAACTTATAGGTGAAGAGTATGCGGCAGGAGGTGCGAGAAGTATAAACTCTATTGGTGGAAGCGACAACATGGAGACACGTCCCTCATCGCGCAATACACCAGCTGGTTCGAACCACGATCCGAGTGAAGACGACGACTCTTTTAAGACTTAATTCCATTTATTACAATTCATCTGAAAATCTCGGTTATTGATTGTTTAGGTGATGTGCTTTTTGCATAATCGGGTCGTGAAACCCAAATCATAGGCCCTACTGCCAAGTCTCATTCAATTGTCGCATGTACGGTTCATATTTTATTACACAGTCTGATGCTTTACTCTAAAATTACCTAAATAATTACATGTATATTCTATTTAATTTTTCTGTGTATAGTTACGTTCCTACCTTAACTGACCGATTTGAATTTTTTTTTTGTAAAATGGAAAACGAAATGGAATCCGCCGGTTTTTACATAATAAAAGGTTCGTTTGTTTGATACACGTGGGACGTCTAACGTGAGATCTGTGAAAATGTGTGGTAAGGAACTTACATAGTTGGCCATACTTGAGTGATGAAGGCATGAGCAGGTAGAGAAGTAATAGTGGGTCATGGAAGTAGCTGTAGAAGAAGCACCATGGGATCATTAGGCTAGACCTACAAGGGCCAGCTAATGAGTAAAGACTACGAAAATTCTGTTTCACCACTAAACGGCAAAGATCGCCAAGAAGGGTTGTAGCCAGTTTTTGAGAAGCAATCATGACATGAATTTAGAATTAGTTATCGTCTTTGAAAATTGAGGAAAGCGCGAGCTCATACGTACGTACGTACGTGGCGACGTTTTGTACAGCCGTTAACTGCCTCTCCCGCTCTACGCCCTACCTACAAAAAACGGTCCACTGGCCAAACATTACACTTTCGAGGCGGATATCCGCATAATTGAGTGGCATAGAGACCTCGCCTGAGGAACAAGTGACGTGTTCTTACATAATTTTATTATACAAAAATACTTGTTGAACGAAGATGTTCACCTTCTTTTCACAACAAATTCATCAAAGCCGAACAATAATAACAACAACCAAGAAAACAACGCCTAAAAAATCTCACATGACGATGCTATTGTACAGAAACTCGTAAACCAACTTGGACAAGTATTGATAGCAATCAACAATAAACTCTAGACTATGGAATATCTTCTCTCGACCGTGTTTCATATGTTTGTTTCACACAAGAAGAACAACAAGAACAAAGTCAAAAAAAAAACAACAATGTTCTAAACATGAAACACATTCTTACAGTACTTCTCAGCAATATGCGGAGCAACGTGGAACGGTTACAATGAAACAATAAATGATCACTAACTATCTTGAATTTTCTAACTAGCTTCTATCCAATATAAGTTAACTACAGGAAAAAAAGTCTGGAAGAAGTAATCGAGATCAAGAACCTTTACTCTTAGCTCTTCTGGGAATAAATGGGCGAAGTCGAGGATCCCGCTGCTTTGCTGAAAAAAATTCAAGTTTTAAACGGTGCTCATGTGCGAAATAGGTCCATCAGCTAACTTCGACGGAACTGTTACGTACAGCGCTCGAAAAATTCCTATGTTAATCGGAGTAACCATCATCTCAGGTCGTTCCGCTGATAACAGGCGGGCGCATGGGGCTAGAGACGGCAATATCTAAGTGCTTTCATACCCCCACCATTCCGAAAAAGAGGGATAGATTTTGAGCTTCTTTATATTTAGAGTAATCGAAGTTGAATTAAATGATTAACCAAGTTTTCAAGGAGCACAGTATAAATAGCTAAGCTGTTTATTCGAAAAAAATATTCGTTCATATTTAATTCCCTGAAAATTGGGCCTGAACAGTTTCAGAAAACAGTGCACCGGCTAGAATTAGTTACCTTGGCAGCCTGATTTATTGGCGTCAACCTTCTTCGGAGGCCTACCACGACCTCTCCGATGAGCTTTGTTGGCGAATTCTTCTCTACTGATCTGAAATTAATGTATGCGTCAATGATCTCTAGATATTATGAACACAAAGGAAATGTCGCTTGAACCCTCATGATTTTAGAGTAAAGGCTTGACGAAAAGATTAATTGATGACAAACTATCAAGTCGAGTTGAAACCTTTGCTGTAACCAGGGAACATTTGAAGAAAACTAATCATGATTCAAAAAGCGTACGAATGGCACTCCGACTGCTAAAAAAACTAGAGTTCTTGAAAAACTGTTGAAGTTTCAAAGTATTACCTGATTTTTTGCAATCCAGAATTTAACTTTTTCGGCTGCATTCAATCGTTTAGAGGAGGGCTGTCGATTAGATGTCTTATTTGCAGTTTCCTAAACAGTATCAAGCTTTACACAGGAGCACCGTTTGAACTTTAAATTGTTCGGAATGCATCTCAAACTAAATGACCCATAATTACACCTATACTCGTATGAGTGAAGTACCAAAATCCTCTTGTGTTATTACAGATTCACACAAGGTCTGTATGATTTTTGTAATGAGAAGATATATCGTGGTACACCAGCCACAATGTAATTGGAATAAAAACAAACACTTCAAATTCACAGCAGATTTTCAAATAGTTGCCATAGAACATTCTAAGCAACACCTCGCTACCAAGCTACTGTAAAGCACATACCTTGACTATTCGTTTCTTTTGCGTCGGTTTCCTTCCTCGTCTAGGTTGCTTCTGGCTCGGCGAGATAGTTGGCTGTGCTTCGCTCACTTTGGTCAAGTTCTGTGGATAGTGGTTTGATTTTGAAAGGTTGGAAAAAAATCTGAGGAAAAACCTGAGTAAGTTATGTGTGCCGAATACCCGTCATCCGGAAATACATCATTTTTCCTCTCGGTTTTCTTTAGTTCACTGCCTCATTCAAAAGTGTGGCTACGAATGATTGCGAAAATTGAGAAACATGAGAAAATATTCCACTGGCAAGTTGAAGTTTGAGTATATGTCAATAACAAAGATCAACTTGAAGCAGTTAGCCAAAATGCATGGGGTTCTTTTCGCACACTGGTCCAGGTTTGCTCTCACCTTGCTCTTCGCCTTAGCGATATACGCCTTACTCCGACAATTTATCCCATCCAAAGAATCTCTTCTCCGTGAAGGAGGCGGTGTAGTATCTAGCACTTCATCCGATTCCGCCGAAACCTTTAAAACTCACAGCTGAGCGAAACCTGAACCCTTCAATAGAGGTGAACCGTCTCCCACATTATTAGCTCTTTCTGCTTCAGCTGTACTCCATCTGCTGGGTGCACTGCTAAGTATCGTAGAACTCCATCTGCTCAGATCAGTGCTAGACGTTAATAAAGATGACTGCAAATAAACCTCTATAGGAAAAACAAAGGAAATAAAATGAGAAGAAAAATATACCTGAGAATTGGGTAGGTCGCTACTTGAGATATTCATCGAGGTCTGCAATAGATAATTTCGGTGTCGATCATATTCATCTTCAATAAACGAGAAATTCCAATGTCCTCAGAGCAGAGACAAAGGAAGGGTCACTTACATCACTTGTAAATAGATCTGACACACTTTGGTGGTGATTTAATGCAATGCTTGTGGAATAACTTGATGTTAGGGCTGAGGAAGTTAAGTTAGAGCCACCCTGCAAAGAGAAATTTCATAATTACCAGCCCACGACTCATCGTATTTCGCCTGAATTACATCCGATTTGTGCCTGTTATTACCTCATCAGTTGGAGCTATGTCACTTTGCTCTGGCCTCGACGATAATAAGCGTGAAAGCTCTGAGAACCGCGACATTGTACATCCGGACCCTTCTGGAACTAGACAATTAATTCACAATTTTTCTTCCCATTGAAGAGAAAATTTGCATAGCAGCAACATCATTTTTACTATATTAAACAGCTTCCTACCCTTTCTTTGCTTCTGTGGTAGTTGTGGCCGATCCTGAAAATACCCATCATTTACGTAGTACGAAGACGAGATATATATGTCATAATATCGGATAATCAGTATCGTGGAAGCAAAAATTACTTGCCTTTGATAATCTTATTATTAATTTTCGTAAAGTGTTAAAATAATTGTCAGCTCTCTTCCTGGAAGGGAGAAGACAGTTATCCTTCGTTCTCACATTATCCGAGTTTGTCTATGAAGGTTTTCCTCTTCACATTCTATAGACTCGGGACAACTGAGCTTTCAAAAGCATCTATAAATCAAATTAAGAGGAAGGCATACTGTCGAGGGTACTTCATCTTGAAAAGGCAGTCGCGACAGCTAAACACGACTGGATCATGGCCATGACTTTCAGTAAGTATAGATACACATAGGCTTAAGCATCGGCATCTGAGGCAAAAATAGTTTTCTACGTACTAAGGTGGTCCATAGGCCGCTTTACTACGTCTTTCATATGCAATGTATACATATACACAGATTTTGATATTTAGCAAAATCCTGTAGGTAATCCTAAACAAAGCAGTAAATACCGTAATTTCCTCCTCTCGCCTTTGACGTTTCGGAGGAGGGAATATTGGTCTGCGTCCCAAACTTTCGAGAAGAGGCTTCTCCAGCTTTTCTGCAATGCGAAAGAATTCGATACCTCTCACCCTACCATTTGAGAGCATAATTACCTCGCTCGCAAGCAGGCACGGCACGCATTTTTGCACAGAATTTTGCCGTTATGTCTCTAGCAATTTTCGAAACTCCTGAAATAAAGCGACCAAGCGTCAAGGCAATTATTTCCTGTGAACCCTTTCATGAACAGTTTCTCATCCACAGAAAATGTCGGCCCAAGCGGTCGTAGTGGACCGCCTGAACTACTTATCTGCTACGTTGCCCCAAATCCACTTAATTTCGAACGATAAAAGTTCAAAATCGCTGCCTTCGCAGCAAGGGGAATTAAGCTGTCTAATGAAGAGTAGCATCACTCTTTACAATGAATAAGGTAGGAAAAATCACTGAATAGCTATAAAAGTTATGTAATAACTAACTGGGCATTCGAGGTGGAACCCAAAGTCGATAGCGGAACTCCGTGTCTTTGTTGCCACTGCTCTGATAAAAAATATTAGCAGTATACGTGCTGGTATAGTGTGGAAGAATGGATTAAAACATTTCAACCAAACAGTTCTCAACAAGCAATTACCTCGTTACAGCTGGTCGTGGCTGTAACTACTTCATTTATGGTGTCACTAATCCGTTTACGATGAGCTTGAGAGTTTTGAGAAGAAAGTGATCGATATTCACCAAAACAACGTGCCCATTCTTCATCTATAAAGTCAAATAATCGAAGAGCCCGAATCTAAATCTCGCTTCATTCATAAAACACCGTATCCATCTAATGAATTCTACTACATTACGTACCAGTGGCTGGTGGCTCCATTTCTATATTTATATAATGATCGTTTCGACGGGTACAAGCGGAAACTGCAATGTCTAACTGGAGAAAGATGATGATCTTCATAGAGGTGCATCATTAAGGACATAAAGAACAGCAAAGAACTTCGTTAAGATGAAAAACAATACCAACAAAATAGTATAGTATCAACTAATCGATTCATTCATCGCAACAAGTAGTTTGTGAGTAGGAAGATTCTCAGAAATCATTCGCAACGAAATAGAATCGTCAGAAGCGGAACGAAATGGAAACGAAACGGAAGGAAATTGTTCTTGTGAACAGACTTATCTGTCAGCGTCGACTTATCATCTACACGATGCTCCTAAGGCAGCATTCACGATGCCGTTCGCATTAAATGCAAACGACATTATCGATCGCCGCTCGCGAGACCCAGGCGCTACTAATGCGTCGCGTTACTGCCGATGTCAGAACGCATGAGGCATGCGTGAGTATAACAATACCACGTTTTTGAAAAGCAAGGTAAACTTTGAATAAGCTTTTGAATAAAACGCTTCAACTCGTCGCGGCACGGACACAACCACTACTATGCTGTCACAATGCGATTCTGGCTGTAAACTGCAGTCAAATCAGTCAGGTGCAGGATTCAATCAGTCGACTAGCACATGCACACAACTTGGGAGAGTCCTAGGCTCCACGATTGAGCGCATACATAGTCGACGACTATACTCGCGTTGGATGTGGGTGTTGCGTGACATCACCCGGTTTACTTGTGCGATTTCGTCCACTGGGGAACTACCGTAACCTCACGCCTAACTTCACTCACTTGCTATATTTGCTCCGGGCCGTCATGAAAGCTGTTCCTTGTTACGGTGGCCAAGTATCTTGAATATTTTCTTCGAACAAACCTACGCAGTAGTTGTTCCGCAAATTACTTCCCTTTCGAAAACGCTTGTCACTTCGATGCGAACATCTCGACTATTTACATACCCTGGAAAATTTGAAGACGTCGAATTTGAAGTATTCAACTAAGGAATTGACAAGTTTTCTGATCCATTGAAAAGACGTGAGTAAATGGGATAAGGGGCCATAATTCAGGACCGAGAAACACTCCAATTACTCAACCACAGATCTCTGCACTGGTGACAGATCACTAGATCACCACATCAGCCG